GGAGAAAATGAGGTGCTGCGCCACACGATCGGCACTGCGCCAAGATCCGCGTTTTTGATGGCCGCCCTGGATGATTCATATAGAATACAAGAAACAAAATTAGGATATCAAATGCAAAGCTCTAATTTATACAGAGATACAGATAACACCAAAGCAAATATAAGAGTAGGAGTGTTAGCATATGCGGATGATACAACCTGGCTAACAAGTAATCAAAAAGATATACAAAAGATGATTGACATCGCTCAAGAATTCTATAAATTAAATGATATTGAAATAAACCCCAAACAAAACCAAACTCATAGTTATAAAGCCAGGAAGAAAAAGGAATATGAAAGATCTTTTAGTATGTGTAGACAATACAATTATTAAAATTATAGCAAAAAACTACAAAGAAGCTACACGTTTCCTTGGGGTATAGATATTGGTTAATAAACAGAAATGATCAAACATATTTAAAGCAAGAAGTGAAGTAGCAAGATTACTGGCTTACTTAAATATAAACAATTGTCCTTAAGTCAGATTATATATGTAAACAACATAGTATTGATACTCATTCTGGAGTACAGACTTATAATCTTATGTCTTACTAAAGCACAATGTAAGAGAATATATTAACCAATGATAAGGTTAACTAAGTGAAAAATGTCAATATCTTCTATAACAGCAAACATAATAACAAAGCACCCTAAAATGACTAATTTTAAGAGCCTCTGAGATAGACATATGGAGTATCATATTTCAGAATTGCTAGTTAGATTAAACATACCAGGCTTACTCAAGAAGTCAACAGTAAGAAAACTTAGATAGGGTCAGCATAACGTAGGACCGACCAAATATATCCTGACAAATCAAATAGTTTTAGAAGGAGCAGAAATAAAGAGTCATAACCTGGAGTTAAATATGTTATAGCAAGCCAAGGCACTCGGTTTAATAATACAAGAAAATGAGATTACAAAAAGCTAGAACATTGACATAACCCAGAAGACCAACAATGTCAAAATCACAAAGGTTCTTGGGGAAATAGGCTTGACATATAAAGAAATAAAAGCAAGCAAGCTAGGGCTCTGGCTAATATTATAGCTCATATCAAAAGATGGCAAGATAATACACACATGGAGACAAATTAAATTAGTATGTGGTGCAGAATTAAGAGGAAAAAAAGCAAGATGGTTTAACGAACTCGAAAAAGAAATGTTAGCTGATTCAAAAACAAGAGAAGTCAAACCCAAATACAAAATTGAGTTAATCAACACTAATATACTGCACATCAGAACAAGAGAATTGAACAAGGACAAGAGAACAAAAGAATAGGTAGTATAGAAAGAGAAAGGACATAATGAATTTAGTATAGAAAAGATCGAGGAAAAAGAAAACAGTTATATAGAAATAAAGAAATATAAAGAGGTAATATACTGGCAACAAAATGAAAAACAACAAAAGTTAGAAGTTAATACAACATGTAAAAGTCTCATAATCAAGCGCAGAGAGCTTAGAGATATATCAAACTTAGTCTAAAAAGCAGAAAATAAAGCAAAATTGCTTTTTGAGAAGAAAAGCATAGAAGGTATTGCTGAGAAGGGTGGGAAAAAAGAGCTAGTTAACAAAAAAGAATTAAAGGAGCTGAAAGAGAAAGAAGAAGTAGTTATAAAATATAAAAGCTAGGAGATGGTCCTGATAAATAGAATTGTTGAAAATGATAGAATTAGAAAAAATATATTAGAAAGTATAGAACAGAATAGAAAAATAGGTAGTTTATTTTTTTATATAAATGGCTCACTCGGTATTTCAGAAAGAGAAGAAGAATTAGTGATGGGTTGTGGCATAGTACAGATCACAGAGACAGGACACTTATTACATTAATTTTCATGTGTAACAAAGAAATGGTTCTTCTCAACAAAGGCAGAATTAGTAGCAATCCTATATGCGCTCCTAATTACACCTACTAAAAGAAAAGTAGAAATTAGAACAGATAGCAAAGCAGCAATATTGGCAATCAAAAGAGGTCTAGAAATAAATAAGATAAGACAATGGCTTAGAGTCAAAAATGTTGGTCTTGTTGCAACTATCATAGAAGTAATAAAGACAAAAGAGCTAAATGTTCTCTTTACAAAGATAAAAGGGCATTCAGATAATATATTCAATGATTTTGCAGACCTAAAAGCAAAAGAAGGTGCCAAGTCAGTAAAGTACTTAACCCCAAAAACAATAGATACAAAGCATTATAAGTACAAATACACATAGAAAGAAGAAATAGTCGAAAAGCCAATTCGCTCTTTTACCAAGCTTTTGAAAAAGGTTCTAATTAAAGCTAAATGGACATTTGTACATAGCGCACATAACAAGACCCACCAGGAAAGAAAAAATTTTCAATTCTGGGATATTCTTCATGCGCTACTAAAAGGTAGAACAAGGTAGCAAAATTATACTTTTAAGTTTAATACAGTATAGCTTTTTGGAATAAAGTGTATAAATAATCTGCTTCCAGTTCTAGCAAAGCTCAATCAAAGAAGACCCGAAACATATAAAACAGATATTTGTATTATATATAAGAAGAAAAAAGAGAACATGGAATATCTTAAATGAAAGACATACAAGATCTAGAGGAAAAAAAGAAAACTATATTAATAATGTTAGGAAAGGGAAACCAAGCGGAAGAGTCACACAGAAGAGAAAGATAGATCAGAGGCCTTATTACAAAAGAAGACTTCGAAGAGCTTAGACCCACATTTAGCTCCAACAACCAAACAAAGAGCTTTATAGCAGCACTATGAAAGAACTGGATGAATGAAGTATATAAAAGAATATGGGTCGCAAGATGTAAACTCATACAAGAATGAGAAAAGGAAAATGGCATCACAGCTAAAAAAAAGAGGAGATCTCACAAAAAAACAAAAAAAGAAAAACAAAGAGAAAGACAAATTTCTAAACAAAAGAACTCCTCCAGACAAACACATTAAGGCATCAAGAAGGAAAAGAGAGAAGGATTCAAGATATAAATTAGTATATGAAATAACTAAGAAAGAATTGTTAGATTGGATTAATGAAGGTAAACATGCAGATTGGTGAAAAATGAATATATAGTTTTGACAGGCGGTAAAAACTAGCTGTTGATGTATAATTGAAGCCAAATTTAGGATAAGATAATACAGAGGTGAATCTTACTATAGCAGGTCGCACATAGGTACTCATTGAGCAATTGGATGAGTTTTCACTTGTAATTTAAATACCAAAGAGATTAACTTTTTGGAAAATTTTAATAGTTTAGAAAATTATTACAAAGCTTAATAAAGTGAAGGCAAGACTGCCAAATTCATTAAAAAAAAAAAAAAAATACAATTCTTGGGAGGCTTCGGAGCTACTATATTAGCCTAATATATAATACAAACTAGCGATGCAAACCAAACCCGAATGGGATAATTACGACTTTTTACCTAGTTTGGATTTGGGGTCGACTATTGTTGTGATTCCAAACCCAAATCAAAACCCAAACCGGTGTCCGTTCCTTTCTGCATATCCCAAACCTCATCGACCAATCAATGATCAGAATTTTGAAGAACGTATCGGGTATGTACGCTTGTTCTACTTGTTCTCTAATTTTAAGTTAGCGAGAAATGTCTTGCACAAGTTCCCGTTGATGGCTTTAAGGTTAGTTTTTGGCAAGTTGATAATGCCCTTTATTTCTTTTGTATTCAAATAAAGGGTAATACTACTTATAAGTTGTTCGCTGATGTTTAGAATTCACTTGCGAGTGAAAAAGCTTTCGAA